ATGAAAATACAGAAAGAAGAGGTAAAGTAAAGACCCCTTTTCACGCCTTTCGGCGCATCGGGCATATGGGCAGAGCGTCCCATATTTTTACAGACCATCAGCACTCGGTGGGTGTGGTCAGCATTACGCCGGCTGTCTTTACTTTCCCAGGACAGCCCATCCTGGTACCCACTTTAGGCTGGGTCGACCTGCGACGTCCCATACCACGACAAAAATCCACGCAGCCTGCAGTGGGTTTCGATCGCGGTATGCTGGCTTACGAGTCGGACTCGCAACGCCTTAGCCACGGACGCCGCAACAGAGATAGATAGTTAGTTTAACTGGAACTTATGTTTATGACGACGATTATAACAATGACGACTAAGACGGAGGAGGAGGAGGAGAAGAAGAAGAAGAAGAAGAAGAAGAAGAAGAAGAAGAAGAAGAAGAAGAAGAAGAAGAAGAAGAAGAAGAAGAAGAAGAAGAAGAAGAAGAAGAAGAAGGAGAAGAAGAAGAAGAAGAAGAAGAAGAAGAAGAAGAAGAAGAAGAAGAAGAAGAAGAAGAAGAAGAAGAAGAAGAAGAAGAAGAAGGAGAAGAAGGAAATGAAGAAGAAGAAGAAGAAAGAAGAAGAAGAAGAAAAAAGAAGAAGCAGAAGTGAAGAATGACGTAGAAAAGGAGGAGGAGTAAGAAGAAGAAGAAACAAGTACAAGATGAATGGAGGAGGAGGTAAACAAAAAGAAACTACAACCAGAGCAACTATAACAAGCAACAGCAACAACAACAAAACCGCAACGATAATAACATACATAAAAATTGCAGCACCTACGGCAACTTCAACAACATTACCGGGAACAGCAGCAATACAACATCAAGATTTTCATGAATAAAACATTTGAAATCGATGCAATCTGTTAGTAAGTTATTTATTCATATACATTTCACTTTAAAAAGCAATGTATGAATAGAACCAATCACACAAGAAGCAAATAAGAGAAATGCGGTGCATACAGTAAAGTAATGGCCCATCTACAGGCCACTATATGAGGCTGGACATATTTTTTATAGACCAAGGCTGGTTATTTGAGTATCCTTTACAGGACGTTGCAGAACCAACCCCAGCAGCCCCTGACTGTTGTGTGGTTTCTCTAGGCAAATTTACATCCTGTAGTTTGCCATTTCTTACTGGACGGTCGGCCCCCTGATACCACCGTCGAAACCAATGCAAGGCGCATGGCCCGCAGCTGTGATCGAACCCGGCACCCCGGCATTACGAAGCTTTAGCATCGACTAAGCCACAGAGCCGACTTATAGACCAAACGGCCGTCAATTGATGATTTGGTCAACATCACGCCGGCCGCCTTTACTTCTCAGGACCTTACCTGATACCTGTTTAAGGTTAGGTCGACCTGGAAGCCAAGGTCATGTTTGAAAAAAATATGGCGTTATGTGGGTTTGAACTCACTACCTTTGGATCCAAAGGAGAGTGTCTGGCCGCTAAATCACTTCAGTGCATAAAGATAATTAATTTTTTTCCACAAGTTTACAGTACATTTAGAAGGAATTTTGGGAGCTTCGTGGTCTCGAGGCATGGTCTCCACCTCGAGTGCTAGAGGTTCCGGGTTTAATCCCTGGTAAGCTGGAATTTTTTCACGTGTACTTGGACTTCTAATAATTTCCCTGGTCTCTGGGTAGTAAGATCACACACCTGTGTGTATTGTTGCGCACGCAAAAAAATCCTTAGGCAGTTGAAAATCGAAAAGAGTAGCCTAACGGCACTGCCCGGTCAAAATTTGGAGTTATAAATCTACCCAAAATATTTCAGGATCCTCGCAGGTGCTACGGAGCACGTGCACTGCGCTGAGCTACTTCGGACCAAGACTTGAGTTAGAAGTAGAACGGAGCACTTATGGGTTGCTACCCGTGTGCCATGATGTTAATCAGCTGTTTAAACTTCAAACTTCAAGAAGGCTTCAAAAGCGGAGTCTGGTACTTAAAAATGCTTCACTGTGGCTAGTGAAAGGCTTAAGAGTTAACGATACTAACACTATCTCCTTGTCACCACAGCCACACTGATCTATTTAGAGCTGGTGTGGCTTAATGACTAATGAAATCGTCTACCGAGCAGCGTCTGGCCGAATGGTTAAAAACCATGGCCTCTCATGCGGTAGACGCAGTTTCGAATCCTCGGTAATGTTGAGGATTTTTTTTCTGTCGGGGGCAAACATAAAATCCCTACACTCACAGTCCGTGGCGACAGCGCTAGCCATGCGGCCTTAAATCTTCAGGCTCAAAGATTTCGACCGCCTACACACAGTCGAGATTAGTTAAAGTTAGTTGCGTATCCTTTACAGGAGATTGCAGAACCAACCCCAGCTTTTCTGGGCTGTTGTGGTTTTTCTAGGCAAATTTACGTTCAGTAATTTACAATTGTTTGTACAGGTAGTTACTGGCAATTTTTTTGGGGGGTGGGGGGGGGGGGGGGGGGGGGGGGGGGGGGGGGGTGGGGGGGGGGGGGGGGGGGGGGGGGGTGGGAAGGGGGGGGTGGGAGTGTGGCAGGAGCGAAGGGGCAGAAGTGGCCAACTGCTATGAAGTATTGGCTACAAATCCCTTAGTGTTGTTACGCTTGTAACTTTTGGTCAGAACAAGGTAAGAAAATCAGGCTACTATTTCAAAAAAACATTGACTAGATTCATCTGTGGTTGCCTCTTTGAAACTTAAACACCCACAAATTTTCCTCTTGTGGTTGTTATTCGATTTGAACGTTTTGCTGTCAAGGCATCTGGTGCAAAAAGGTTGAAATAGAAGGTTAAGGATGTTAAGAAAAAATGTCTATAAAACTTAAGGGGTAAGATAACATTTATGATACTTTTTAAGTTGGCAAAATGATAAAGTTCATAAGCATTGGCTAATATTTATAACAAAAAGACATAAATGTGAAATACATATTTTCACTATATACAAATGCATAGTTGAACTGACATGATGTCTGTTCATATTGAAAAGACACAGGAATTTATCACTTTGTATGCTCGTGTTGAAACATAGATATTATATGTGGATCTCCAGTTATATGCACCACGCATAGACAGACAGCTTAGAATTATTACGTAATATTTATAGTAAATAGAAAAGGTATAATCAAAATACTGCATAATTTATAAGTAAAATAAGAAAAGTAAGGGACCCCTTTCCTTTTTTCAGGCGTTTTGGGCATATAGTAAAGAAAGTAAAGTAAAGATCCCTTTTCACGCTTTTAGGCACATTGGGTATATGGGAAAGCCACACATATTTTTTACAGACCAATCGGCACCAGGTGGGTTGTGTGGTCAGTATTACGTCGGCCGTCTTTACTTCCCAAGGACATACATCCTGGTACCCATTTTAGGCTGGGTCGACCTGCGACGCCCCATATCGTGATAAAAATCCACGCAGCCAGCGGTGGGTTCCGATCGGGGTACGTTGGAATTACGAGTCGGACTCGCAACGCCTAAGCCACAGACGCCGCTTCGGGCATTTAGGGCTAGTTAAAGTTACTTGCGTATCCTTTACAGGACATTGGAGAACCCAGCATTTTTTGGCTGCTGTGGTTTTTATAGGCAAATTTACCTCCAGTAGTTTGCCATTGCGCTATGGACGGTCGGCCTCTCGATACAACTGTTGAAACCAACGCAAGGAGCAAGGCCCACAGCAGGGATCGAACCCGGCACCCCTGCAAAAAACAAATTCGGCTCTGTCAGGATCTGAACACATGACTTTCGGATCACCTGTAGCCGATACACCACTGAGACTCCCTGTAAACTGTATGGCTTGGAATATTTAGCGAGATCACAAGTGAAGAACTGAAGTGGCAAAACTAAATGTTTATCAATGGTAAACGTTATCAAATGAAGAAGGCGGAGGCACTGACAGTTCTCCTGTGGAAGGCAGAATTCTTCTTATTTGCATTTACCAGCTGTAAACTCAGGCGAAAAGTTCTGATTGTTCATCCACTTCTGAACTGCAGTCCTGTTCCAGAACCTGAGTGTTGGGTGTTTATCCGTTTTACAGATCTGACTCAGACTGAAAAAAAGTAGACGATGACAACCTAAGGAAACCCGGAGGACAGTAGAAAGGATTAGCAAGGAATGTAACATGACCTAGAATAGCATTGGAAGCAAACTAGCAGACCGGCAGCAATGGAGATCCCTTGTGAATGCCTTGTGTGTCAACAATGACACGGAGAAGGTACAAAGAGATGTTTCCATGTATCTCCTGAGATGTTTCCATGTATCTCCTGAGATTTTTCCATGTATCTCCTCATGTACATCACTGCAGAGTTAAATCCACATATAATAAAACACAAAATATGAACCCCTACAAATAAATTTAAAAAAAAAAAAAAATTACGTTGTTTCTTGTTACACGGCACATCCCGCCAACACAGTTCATTTCCGGTCTAATGAGGTAGATAGACCGGCTGACCACCGACACTATGAAAGGTAATATGTTTTAGCCAGGGTTTGCTGATGCAATTTCAGTTCCCAATTTCTGGACCAGAAGTCCAAAGGTTCTACTTAACTGAATGCTTGGTGAGACATTGTGAGCTTCTACTGTGGGTTTCACATGGAGTATTTTTTCTGTTGTCAGCTGAGCGTTATTAATTGAACTAAAAATGTTGGATCGCCGATTGTGTTAATAGTTAACAATGACGTGTACTCAAGCAGTAGCGCGTGGACAAATTCCAGCTTTCGTGATTGACGATTTTGCTTCATTATGTGTTGATGCAAACTGTGCCTGCGTCTTTCGCCACAACATATTAGATTTAACTAAACTCTGCCTGTGCCTTTCGCCCCATTACATTAGATTTTACCAAACTCTTCCTGCGTCTTTCGCCCCAACACATTAGATTTGAGCAAACTCTGCCTGCGTCTTTCGCCCCAAAACGTTAGATTTTACCAAACTGCCTGCGTCTTTCGCCCCATAACATTAGATTTTACCACTCTAAATTAAGCGCCTTTTCGGTGGGTCAATTCATTTTACCCTCAAAATCGGAAGAGGAACTCACATGGGCAAAACAGCAATGTGACTGAGCGAGGACAGCATAGTGATGTGACTGAGCGAGGACAGCACAGTGATGTGACTGAGCCATGACAGCACAATGATGTGACTGAGCCATGACAGCATAGTGATGTGACTGAGCCATGACAGCACAGCGATGTGACTGAGCCATGACAGCACAGTGATGTGACTGAGCGAGGACAGCACAGTGATGTGAGTGAGCAATGACAGCACAGTGATGTGACTGAGCCATGACAGCACAGTGATGTGACTGAGCTAGGACAGCACAGTGATGTGACTGAGCTAGGACAGCACAGTGATGTGACTGAGCTAGGATAGCACAGTGATGTGACTGAGCTAGGACAGCACAGTGATGTGCCTGAGCCAGGACAGCGCAGTGATGAGATTGAGCCATGACAGCACAGTGATGTGACTGAGCCCCCCCCCCCCCTCACCCACCAAGACGGGCCAGTCCAGCCACATTTGTAAAAGGAATAATGTACCCAAGACATTGTATACGGGTGTGTAGTTTAAATTAGATATAACACACTGCAATGTGATTCACACAAGGAGTGTGATAGTTTTCGCATAAGATAATATACAATAATGTGATTTATACAAAACAATACATAGTGATATGAATTGCCAAGACCATATACAGTGATACAATTTACACAAGACTATTCAATGTGGTGGAATTTATGCAAGACAATACATAACACTCTAATTTACAATTGCAATTTGCACGTGACGTTACAACATAGAGTAATTTATACAAGTAAATACACTTTAGTAGTGTGATTTACACAAAACAATGCACTTTTGTGTCCTGTACAGAAAACAAATCATCGTAGCATGATTTACACAGTACATTTCAGAGTATATTATATAGGATAATACATTTTACCATTATTTACCCAGTGTACTTTAGTGGGATTTACACAAGAAAATTTAGTGTGTTTTACACAAGACATAACACAGAGGCACCTAATTTACACAGATGTACCATAATGTGATTTACAATACGTAATGATGCATCCATCGAAGTGAGCATACTTGAGTGCTACTTTCTGCGATCATATCTTCAGAAGGAATCATGTGAATAGTAATTTTATTTACACATCAAACAATTTCAGGTACTTAAGAAAGGGTTGGTGGTTTCACCCACCGGTTTTTCTGGCGGTTTTCCAGATACTTAAGAGTTATTTATTTTTTTTCAAGGCTGCCTCAGGCGTAACGGTAAACAAAAAGATGCAGGTATACGCACGCAGATCCAGTGTTTACAGCATAACGGGACTTGGTGGCAGTTGGGTGATATTAGAGTGGGGAGCCAGTAGAAGCAGTGATAACCGTTATTTCCACATTACTGATACATCGTGAATAGTGTACTAGACCTAATTGTGTATGGACAACTTGGCAATCGGTGGTCACATGACGTCAGCTGCCTTTACTGTCTAAGGTATTCATCATCATCAAGCAGCGTGTCCTTTATAGAACGTCACCTTCATCACGGCACGCTGGAAACCCTTTCTTCCTTCAACCAGTTTTACAACCCTATGTGCTTTCATTGCAAGTGCAACTTCACTGATCTGTATCCATATTCGCAGAGGTCTGCCTCGTCTTCTGGAAACTGTACCCAAACTCAAATACCCTTCTCTCTAGGGTACCGTGACGTTTAACATAGCCAAAACACCAGCACTTTCAGGACAGGTGCTGTTTATGGTGGGCCAATTCTCAATGTGCAGATTCCGTAGGAAGTCGTTATTCACAAATGCACATTTTAGGCTGGGTCGATTTGGAAGCCCAAGGTTAATTTTCAAAATCTGGCTTCCCTCGTGTGGGTTCCTGTGCCCCATTGTGGGAAAAACAAGAATACACTCACTGCCTCCCTAACAAGCATGTCGTAGGAGTCGATCAACTGGGGGACATCCTTCGAAGTCGCAGTGCATCTACCAGAGACTAAAGTCCAGGAGTGGACGAACAGCCAGAATTTCTGGTGGAGTATACAGCCGGTAAACGCAAAGAAGAAGACACACAGTGTTATAAAGATTTCGATGTGTAAGGTAGTCAACATCCCTCTAGCCGCATTTACTTCCCAGAACTTTATCTGGTACCCATTTTAGGCTGGGTCGACCTGAAAGACAATCCATTCTTTGAAGAAAACTAAAAGGTGGGGGAGTGGGGAGAATGGGGGGGGGGATGGGGTGGGGGGGATGGGGGGGGGGGGACGTCAGACTCGACGCGCATTCAAACTCATGACCTTCGGGCAGACAGGGGGGAGCGTCCTGCCACTACAACACCGCGGTTTCCATCCGTTGGGGTACCTAATATATAACTGTGTTTTAATGTGGAATGGGGTTTATGTGATTCGCTTCGGTTTGACTCTTATCTTTATGGTGTTAATCACATGGACAGCCATGCTGGATAGAACAGTGTCTGGCCAATTTTGGCGTCTTTCCATTGACATCTCATCTTGCACGTGTTCATTATTATTTTTTTTAACATATATAAATTACATTGAGAATAACATACGAATGCCAGTAATGATGTCGCGCATTTGAAAAGGCACGAAGATTTGCAGTTAAATTAAATGTTGATTCATTCATGTGATCTTTGATACCCACATACATGCTTCAAAGTTCATATACCATATTTTGTTTGTCTCCCTTCTTTATTAATTTATTGTCGACGTTGATTAGCGATTACTGAGCACCATCGTCATAGCACAAATCCTTAGATGCGCTGATCTCCTCCTAAGCCATGCCATGTCTGTGTTGATTAACAAAACGTCTTGAGCCATTTGTGAATTGTCTTAAAAGGTTGCAGGGATACGAACTCCACCTTATCGTCACAATCGTCTTGGTGATAGGCATCTTGCATGACACTGATGGCATAGCTCATGACAATTACCAGACCTGTTATAATAAGGGCCGTGTCATCCATATAACTGCACACTCGTTGCCTCGAACACCCTGTCTATTTTAAAGACACTACACGGGCAAGAAATTTCGGAATCATTGTTGCCATCAGATGTTTGTGATTTGTCTCTTTTTAGGACATAATTTTTTGTTATTTGAACCCCACCTTGGCTTTTGCCAGGGGCCGCAATATAGGCAGGCCATAAATATGGCCTATTGTCTGAACGCGGTTTCTGGGACCTCTCAACGGTGATCCTCATCCGCATGGTGGCACTTTGTGTCATCGGGTGTTTGTGGCTTGTGTGATGTCCTGGTGGGGTAGCAAGCCAGTCAGTCAGTCAGCCCCGCCTTTTTTGTCTATGCAATAAAATCATTCTGTTCCTTTGCCTACAACTAAGTACCTGTAAGAGTCCCTATTCCGATGATAGGAACCCAGTTGTTAGAGATCCATTGCAGCCAACCTTCACAGTAGAGACGGCACCTGATTGCTTGAACCCAGGTACAAAGCTCAGAAACCCTGCTCATAAGTAATATTATACTGCAATCCACCGACGGTTACAATGTAACCTGAATCCCATACAGGGTAGGACTTTTCTATGCCTCAGGTCTCGCCTGTTTCAAGTTAGTTGCGTATTCTTTACAAACCCAAGCAGAACCAACCCCAGCATTTTTTCATGGCTGTTGGTTTTTTTTCAAGGCAAATTTGCATCCAGTAGTTTGCCATTGCTATTGAACGGTCGTCTCTTTATACCACTGTCAAAACCAACGCAAAGCCCACAGCTGGGCTCGAACCCGGCAAACCGGCATTACGAAGCGCGTTCGCAACGCCGACCTCTCGTCTGTACACATCCTTGAATCGTAGTATTTAAAAGAAAACAATCTACCGAAATATTAATACCACGAACGTCAATGCAAGAAAAATATATTTAAACAAAGCCACCTGCTCTTCTGCTCTGCCACTTCTATTCTTAACATAGTCAGACCGCTCTATATTGTGTTTAATCTGTGCCAACCACTTCTTTTCATTGTTCTTCGAAATTTGCCTGCAGACAACATCGACATCCTTGTCCGCTGCGTTGAGGTAAAGTAGAAACTTCAGGTGCAGCAGAAATTTCGGCTTCCCTTGTAAAATGCCCAGGGCCGTTTGGGTGTTACACGAAGAAGTATTGACAACAACGACAGTTTCTGCATTGACTATCATCCAGCACAAAACCTCTTGTTCGTTTCCTGTGTGAAGACAGATGTCATAATAAGTCATGCTGAACACTAGATGGTAAGTAACGTAATGGATATACATCTTCTTAAAGCCCATGTGGGGGTGCTAATTATGTCTATCTACAAGCTTCTGTCTCGTGTGCTTTCAATCAACTCTGACACAGATGATCCTGCATGCCAGGATGTCAAACTGTCGAGCATCTTTTCTCTCGATCTCCCTCTGCATCTTCTCTCCCCCCCCCCCCCCCCAACGTTCAAACTGTCCCGATGTAATCCAGTTTTGGCCTTTACATCACATGACCAAAGAATGTAGACTGTCTCTTTCTCGTGTGGGTAATCAGTTCTCTTCGTGAGTCAGTTTCTTTCAAGACATCTACATTGCAATTTTTAACTATCAAGGGTATTCTCATCACTCGTCTATAGTCTAAAGTCTATCTGTTTAAAGTAGGTACAATGTAATGAATTCAAGAGAGCTGATGAAGGAAGAAAAATGTCTGGGCAACCAAAGGTATCCACACTCCAAAGACAGAGAAGATGGTGCTATACTGGACACACCCTGGAGAAAAAAAAAAACTGGACACATCCTGGAAAAAAACAACAACCTGGACACATCCTGGACCCATGACGTTCAACCCCACCAGGACCGCATAACAAGCGATTAACACCCTGTGATACAAGGTGCCACCACTGGAATGACACCCCCCCCCCACCCCCCTCCCAGATCCAGTCATAGAAAACAACTGGTCTTATAGCCGTTTTAAAAACACCCACAATTATTGACGAGAAACGAGAAATAGGACAGCTGAACAACTAACCTTGCGAGACGGTCATGACAGTTTTGAAACTGCTGATGTAAGTGATGGCAGCTATACAATGGAAGTGGTACTGGTCGTCGTGGTCTTGGAAGTAGCCATGCTCAGATGTGTACGGGTTGAAGGACCAGCTCACGTACACCATGCTGATTGTCTTGGGCGATGTTCTCGATCTGGGGGAGATGCGAAAATCTCGGTCACCAACAGTTGTTTTGAACCGGGGAGATTTATTGTGCGATGTTTTCGACTCTGGGAAAGATGCGAAAATCTCGGTCTACAACAGTGGTTTTCAACACGGGTGATTTATTATGCGATGTTGATCCGTTGTTAAAACCTCAAACCTCAAACCTCAAACCTTTTTAAGACATTCAAACGCATAGATAAATAACTTTCGCGGGACATAGCCTTAGATTGTATCCAACACGTGAGGAATGAAAAATTAAAAGCAGCAAAATTGTTTTCCTCTGTGACTGCATGTCAGTTCTCCAGGCGACTCAGAGGGATTAGCGAGACAACATGGTGAGAGAACTGACCCTCCAGCTAAACAGACTCTCACAACATGGTGAGAGAACTGACCCTCCAGCTAAACAGACTCTCACAACATGGTGAGAGAACTGACCCGACAGCTAAACAGACTCTCACAACATGGTGAGAGAACTGACCCGCCAGCTAAACAGACTCTCAGAAAACAAAGTGAATCCCGGCTCACTGCGGCATACCAGGAAATGAGTTAGCAAAAGAGTGAACAAAAGAGAAACAACACACCCATCCATTGTTATTACCAGAAATCAGAACACTCATCGATGGAAAATACAAGGAATTGTGGAGAGAACAAACTAACAGTAAACTTCCACAAGACCCCATCAGTAGACTCAACAGAAAGCAACAGACAATAATTTCACTCTAGGAAACACCTGAGCAAGCCATGGGGAACCATGAAGGACCTCCTACTGACATGCGAGTTTATAAAGCCAACCCACCTGATGGTCTGATCTAAGCATACGAACCCGAACGCAAAGAAGAAGTATCCATCAAACTAATGTGCGACGACATAGTTTTCGAAGATCTGCTTTAATGTAATACAGCAAAAGTTGTCACATGTAACTTTCGTTAAAGTATTTTTTTTTTCTTATTATCTTGTGCTCTGTCGTTCTGTTGGTATAGCAGCTAGACGCTCGCCTGTGGATCCGAAGGTGGTGGGTTTAAACACGCAATATGACCGACTTGTTTCAAAAATGATTTTGACTCTCAGGTCGACTAAGCTTTGAATGGGTACCAAGCAAAGTCCTGGGAAGTAAAGACGGCCGGTGCGATGTTGACCACATCACTAGTGAGTGCCTTTTAGTGTATAAAATATAGGTTTAGCAACAAATGCCTAATACGCCTGAAGTGGAAAAGGGTCCTTTACTGTGTACCCCATTCGACAACTGCGTAAATGGGCGGCAATTGTCCGATAAGCGCTGCCGGGGTTAGGTTCACGGTAATCTCCCCAAATAAAGTAGGTCACTTTTCATTCACAAGTTTGTTTGTCTGGTCGACTTTCCTGAAGGTTACGGGTGTGTCCCGCTCTATCGTTTGCTTTCAGCGTTGTCTTGCATTTACGCGTTTATTCCGAGAAAGAGAATTCCTGTGGCATAGGTTGCTTCACACTCTTGGGGGTGGGGGAGGGGGATGGGGAGTTAGGGCCAGTTTCTCCATGTTTTTGGAGTGGTAAAAGCGATGGCGGGCTGAAATATACAACATGCGATATCAACGGCATTGCGGAACACCCCTGTAACTTTGTGCTAACGTAACAGGTTCAGGAACAGCTAATCAGACGAGAGCTAGTGTTTATGGCGGTGGGGGCGGGGCATGGGGAGAGGAACGTTACTTAAACTGCAGCCGAAGTCTGAAGCCTTGGAGTCATGACTCAGCCCCCCCCCCCCCACCCCCCACCCGTGAGATTGTCTAGGGCGGTAAAGGGGCCGAAACAATTGTTGAAAGATAGACACCTACTGAAGATAGCTAGATACCTTCTATGAATGCTTCCCGTTTTAGAGTTCTTCTTATTATTATATTACTTTACTTTCCTAATGTTGCTTACCTGAATGTAACACAGCCCGACCTGTTCAGGTTGTCCACGAACGATGACGAGTCGGGTAGTTCAATTGGGTAAATACAAGGCATTCTTCGAATAGTTTCAAGTGATTTTAAGGCAATGTTCCATGGCCTGTAACAATTCAACATATTCAATACAGCATCATCCTCCTTAACAGGAAACTGTTCAAGAATACTCGATTGTCGCAAACAAAACGTTGGTCCCATCAATGTTATATTATTATTAGTTCCCGGTCAGGGCGAATTTATTTAACATGAACTCTTGATTTGTTTGGTCCCTTTGAATTTGTGTTAACCAGGGGCTTTTCAGCCGAAATGCTAAAGAAAGATTCTCAGAATACCACGGACAAAGAAGACAAAAAACATTGACATCTTTAAAGATCTGAATATCAAGGAAGATTGGCTCACAAACAGGATCTTGTCTCGGAATAGGAACTATTTTGGACATGTCAAGCACCACGACGGATTGGGAAACAATAATGGCAGAATGTATGGTACCCGCAAGGAGGAGCAGGGACCGACCAGCACGAAGATGGGCACAGGATATTAGTGAAAAATTGAATATGAAAGTAAACGAGGCGGGAGGGAGAGCTGGTGAGAGACTGAGTTTCTTTCAGGCAGACAGTGATGAGAGCCACGTTCTGCAAAGGACCTGCTACATGATGATTAGGAGATTCTGCTGTAATAATGTTAGCTTAATTATATGGACTTCTTCCAGAGAAGAACTTTTGGGCAACATCTATGACCGAATAAATGAATTCCCCCGGTCGGTACCAGGGCCTCAATCTGGTAGAAGGGGGTGGGGGGGGGGGGGGGGGTGGAGAAACAGACCCACTAGCCCTGTATGAAACATATCATAAAGGTCGAATAATTAAAACTTATAAATCGGAGTGTATCTGCACGAGATAGGCGAAGAACCAACAGTCTGCATTTACAAATAAGCTCAAAACATAAAAAGGATGTGCACGCAAACCTCTTTTTTCTTTCTTTCTTTCTTTCTTTCTTTCTTTCTTTCTTTCTTTCTTTCTTTCTTTCTTTCTTTCTTTCTTTCTTTCTTTCTTTCTTTCTTTCTTTCTTTCTTTCTTTCTTTCTTTTCTTTCTTTCTTTCTTTCTTTCTTTCTTTCTTTCTTTCTTTCTTTCTTTCTTTCTTTCTTTCTTTCTTTCTTTCTTTCTTTCTTTCTTTCTTTCTTTCTTTCTTTCTTTCTTTCTTTCTTTCTTTTCTTTCTTTCTTTCTTTCTTTCTTTCTTTCTTTCTTTCTTTCTTTCTTTCTTTCTTTCTTTCTTTCTTTCTTTCTTTCTTTCTTTCTTTCTTTCTTTTTCTTTCTTTCTTTCTTTCTTTCTTTCTTTCTTTCTTTCTTTCTTTCTTTCTTTCTTTCTTTCTTTTTCTTTCTTTCTTTCTTTCTTTCTTTCTTTCTTTCTTTCTTTCTTTCTTTCTTTTCTTTCTTTTCTTTCTTTCTTTCTTTCTTTCTTTCTTTCTTTCTTTCTTTTTTTTTCTTTCTTTCTTTCTTTCTTTCTTTCTTTCTTTCTTTCTTTTTTTCTTTCTTTCTTTATGTCTATTTTATTTATTTATTTCTTCTTCTCCTCCTCCTCCTTCTACACATTCTTCTTCTTCTTCTTCTTCTTCTTCTTCTTCTTCTTCTTCTTCTTCTTCTTCTTCTTCTTCTTCTTCTTCTTCTTCTTTTTTCTTCTTCTTCTTCTTCTTCTTCTTCTTCTTCTTCTTCTTCTTCTTCTTCTTCTTCTTCTTCTTCTTCTTCTTCTTCTTCTTCTTCTTCTTCTTCTTCTTCTTCTTCTTCTTCTTCTTCTACTCCTCCTCCCCCTTCTTTCACAACTGAAAGTAGGATTGGCACGTTGTGATGTGGTTTGCAAAAAGGATACAATATTCGCGCCTTTTTACCCAACAAAGGAATCTCCTAAGTGAAACGGTTCTTGAGATGCGTTAGCATGTCTGTCCCCCCCCCCCCCCCCCCCCCACACACTATTTTTCCCACAACCCCTCCCCCCCCCCCCCCCCACAACTACACAAAAGGGTTCCCGAAAGCTAAAATGCAGAAAGACGTAATAAGATTTTTTTACACCCACACACACACATAAAAACTGGAAAATATTTGGACAAAACAAATCTTAGCTCGGCAGAAAAAAAATGCACATGGAAAATTAATATAAATAAATATAAATATATATATAAACATTAACTAACATGTAAATATCAATAGGGGCGTTATCCTAAAATGGGATGAGTTGTGTGGTCACCAGAGCAAGCTACAGATATGTCCGCTTCACCAAGGGTACGCTAGGGGATTAGACGGTTGAGAGGGGTGGGGTGTAGAAATTGAATTTCATTTCTTTGGGCTTTCTTTTCGTATTTCATGTTCCTTCAATTTTCGCTTTTTAGAGATTTGTCGTTGTATTCGGACGGTGGGCTAAAACTCCAGCGGGGATCATATGATAACTTTTCATTTCTTTGCTGTCTAGATTTATACATTGAATCTTAACGTCTTTCATCTGATCAAATGAATGAATGCTTCACAATATCCAGGAGTTTACTTCTGTTTCTGGCAATAGACCCAGGGGTTTTCCAGCAAGTAATATATTTGTGTATGCCTGTACGAATTTGATTATTACTCGATCATTCATGTTAATTTTATACAGCTGTCTTTTCAGGAGCACGCCTCCATACACGATATTATTACCCGATCTCCTTCTTCTGTCGTTGGCTCTGTGGCTAAGTCTATGCGAACGCTTCGTAATGCCGGGATGCCGGGCTCGACTCCAGCTGCGGGCCATGGGGCCCCCCGGCCAAGTGCCCAGCGCGCCCGTGCATTTAGACGGCACTGGGTGACCCTTTTTTCGCAATACCTTTAATTCGTGATGCGTATACGTTTTCAGTAGCCTTGGCCCTGACCTTGGAAATGCAACCTAATTATTATCTGGTAATTGCACTTTTCCTGTTCCGTCCTTTTTAGGATGCATTTTTTTGTTATTTGAAGCCCCACCCTGGCTTTTGCCAGAGGCAGCAAAATAGGCAGGCCATAAATATGGCAAATTGGACGCGGTTTCTGGGACCTATCAACGGCGATCCTCATCGACATGGTGGCACTTTGTGTCAACGGGTTTTTATCGCTTGTGTGATGTCCTGGTGGGGTAGAAAGTCAGTCAGTCAGTCAGCCCTCCAAGGTCCACGAAGGCACACGTGATTGTTCTAGTCCAAGTTCTGTTCATTATTCAATGGATGTTTCCGTTTAACAATTCTGCCCGAAAATGGTTCCTGACAATTCAACTATTCTATATTCACTGTTTTTGAGGTTTTTGAACAACGAATCAAGATCATGGCACAGGGACAGTAACCCATAAGTGCTCCATTCTACTTTTACCTCAAGCCTGAGTCCAAAGTAGCTGAGCGCAGTGCACGGGCTTCGTAGCACCGGCGAGGATCCTGAAATATTTTGGGTAGATTTTTAACTCCAAATTTTGTCCCGGCAGCGCCGCTAGGCTACTCTTTTTGATTTCCAACTACCAAGGGATTTTTTTTACGTGCGTGGTAATACACACGGGCGTCCGATCTTACTAGCCAGAGGCCAGGGGAAATTACTAGAAGTCCACGTGAACAGGAAAAATACCAGTCTTTACCGGGGCCTGAACCTAGGATCTCTAGCACTCGAGGCGTACACTACACCTTGAGACCACGCAGCCGTCTTAGTTCAATGTTTGTGGTCAGCACTATGACACCACATCTCCAGATCTGCATATAATTTTCACCTTTTTAATTTCCTGTGTCCATGTTTTATGGTCGTATAGTACCATGGGCCAGATTGGCGTTATCAGCCTAATACAAAGAGCAAATTTCACAGTTGGATCACGTCCTTATACATTAACCTTTAAGAATACCGCCATCTTGGTGCGGAACTCTCCTGCATCCGACAACGCTCTTCGGCCAAGCAAGTCTGTCAGTGCTCACGCGTGCCGGCATGTTATTTGATAATTTATCTTATCTTGTTTCTCGCGATGTCGCGCATTCATTTAACTTCAAGGATCTTACTTGTCTCTCTTTTTTTTTTTTTTTTAAGACTGACATATCCGTGATATCTCCTATTAAAAAAAAATATCTGACAAAATCTGTCAAGTGTCGTCTGCACAATTGAAGATAGCTGCAATTGATTGCCAATACTCTTGACATGGTTGCACACTCTCTGGGTCTACTGTTTTTTCAACTATTAATGATATTCGTTCAATTGTATCGTTGTATACCTCTTTTTTGCCTGCTTTCAACTTTAGAAATTATCAAGATAGATGGAGCAGGATAGTAAGTAACAAGACATCAAGAGTAACAAGACATCGAGAGTAACAAGACATCGAGTGTAACAAGACATCGAGTGTAACAAGACATCGAGTGTAACAAGACATCGAGTGTAACAAGACATCGAGTGTAACAAGACATCGAGTGTAACAAGACATCAAGAGTAACAAGACATCGAGAGTATCAAGACTTAGAGTACTGGGTTATAGTATAACAGGATAGACAGTAAAAAGATAAAGAGCAGTAGATTAAAGAATAAAAGGAGAGTAACACGTTAAATAATTACAAGTAAGGATGCTTACTTCTCCTCATACTCATCCTTAGGATCGTTGAAGTCTGGAGAAACCAGAAAAGTCTCCCTGCTACACATACTTTGATCGGAGAGCTCCAGTGGCCACTGTTGGACATTGCTGAGTCGGTACCTCAGAATGTTGGTGGCTGGCATGTCATAGTACATACAGATAAACCTGGGGTAACAGCCGTTCTGAGGACATGGGGAAAAACATCAAACCGGGTTGTTTGCAGACAGGGTGGCTGGCATGTCATAGTACATACAGATAAACCTGGGGTAGCAGCCGTTCTGAGGACATGGGGAAAAACATCAAACTGGGCTGTTTGCAGACAGGGTGGCTGGCATGTCATAGTACATACAGATAAACCTGGGGTAGCAGCCGTTCTGAGGACATGGGGAAAAACATCAAACTGGGCTGTTTGCAGACACGGGTGGCTGGCATATCATAGTACATACAGATAAACCTGGGGTAGCAGCCGCTCTGAGGACATGGGGAAAAACATCAAACTGGGCTGTTTGCAGACATGGGTGGCTAGCATGTCATAGTACATACAGATAAACCTGGGGTAGCAGCCGTTCTGAGAACATGGGGAAAAACATCAAACTGGGCTGTTTGCAGACATGGGTGGCTGGAGTCAAGCAAACAGCAAAAAATCATGTTACTCTTTGGGAGTCGTCGTGGTGTAGCGGCTAGAAGCTCACCTGTGGATCTAATGGTCCGATGCGTTCAGGTCCTGACTGAGCCGAATTTTTTTCAAAAACGACTTTGGCTCCCTGGTTGACTCAGCCTTGAGTACGGGAAATTGCCGGCGTGATGCTGACCACATCACCCCCCCCCCCCCCAAGTGCCGATCGGTCTATAAAATATAGGTCTAGCCCTATGTGCCCGGTACGCATAAAGGCGTGGAAAAGAGTCCGTAACTTTTTTTAACGTTACTCTTTCATAACAAGGCAGTTGGTCTGCGTGTCTTCGTAACTTTTTACAATGATGCATTTTCTGAACTCTTGTCTAATGTTTTTCTTATGTGAACAGATTATATTCCAGTTGTTACTGTAACTCATGTCAACCTCTCTTATGTTAACGCATTATATCCCTGCAATTAAGAGGCAGATGGAGCTCATAGGCGTTCATAGTAAAAACGAATGGACCCCGCTTGCAAAGCCTGGCATATGATTTTTAAACGTCTGAGAATGGAGGTGGAGGCAGTCGCTGATGCCTTCCGCTGGCTTTAGAATCAGCTTTTAATCCGGTCATGCCTCTAATGACCCCACTAATGTGCCAACTAAAAGCACACATAATGTCCATCACTGTCCCTTATGGAAAAATTGTCACAGACTGCAGTCTCAGTATATCCACTAGCATACACATGGGGTAAAAGAATAAGACAGCCACCAGAAGTGCTAACACACAGCACTCGTCTTCCTTCTTCTTCTTTTCTTCTTCTTCTTCTTTTTTTTCTTCTTCTTCTTCTTCTTCTTCTTCTTCTTCTTCTTCTTCTTCTTCTTCTTCTTCTTCTTCTTCTTCTTCTTCTTCCTCTTCTTCTTCTTCTTCTTCTTCTTTCTGGTGTTCGCCAACTGTTAACTCTGGCAGAACGTTCTGGTTGTTCGTCCAGTTCTGAAAACGTTAATCTTGTTTCAGAACTAGAGTTTTGCGTGGGCATTCGTTTTACAGATCTGGCTTATTTGTATGCATACTGCCTCTCTGACAGATCCACTCCGACTTCAAAGGAAAAGCCCCTCATGTGTTGACTTTTGCGACATTGTGTTAAGGGGCAGTGGGTCTATCCACCCACCCCCATCCCCCTTCCCTAAACAATGGGTCCCCTGAACCCACACGGACAGTTAAAGTGTTTGATGATAATGGTGATGATGACTATGAAGATGAGTTCTTGTTGTTTAACTCACCTGATAGGTTCCCCACAGTATCGCCCTTAAGGCCACTCGCATTTCCGGGTTAAAGGTGACACACTGAAGAAGGCCAAGGTTAGAATGATGGAGTGTGCTTGCGTGAATCTAGGTTGAGAAACAAGAGAGAGAACACATGTGAAATTTTGCACATGCTTGCACGGTGCATGCGTCGGCGTATGTTGCTTAGGCGTGGCTTTGTAATTCACAGGTACCCGCTTCGATTCCAGCTGGTACGATTTAGTATCAGACCATCTTGTGTTGCTATCGACAGGACTACCTTGAGCCAACCGTTAAGTAGCAATGGCAAATTACTGAAAGTAAAATTGTATTGTTTAGCACAAAATATATATAAGTTATTAAAAAAAAAAAACCCACATACAGCCTACACAGGTTTGGTTAGTTGTACAAGGTCTTTAAAGTATACACAACAAACTTTCGGGAATGCCCGATATCAGGGAAACACTTAAGGGGAAAAAAACAGTGGGGAAACTAGCTGACTGACTGACTCAGGGGGGCTGCGTGGTCTCGAGGCATAGTGTCTGCCTCGAGAGCTAGAGGTTCCGAGTTCAATCCTCGGCAAGGGCTGGGATTTTTTCACGTGGACTTGGACTTCTAGTAATTCCTCTTGGTCTCTGGGAAGTGAGATCGGACGCCCGTGTGCATTGCTGCGTCGGTAAAAAGAAAAAAAACCTTGGCATTTGGAAATCGAAAAAAGTAGCCGAACGGTGCTGCCCGGGCAAAATTGGAAGTTAAAAATCTACCCAAAGTATTTTGGGATCCACGCCGGTGCTACAGAGCCTGTGCACTGTGCTGAGCTTCTTCGCACTCAGACCTGAGTAAGAAGAAGCACGGAACACTTATGAGTTACTTCCTGTGTGTCATGATGTTGATCCGTTTTTCAAATTCAAACCTCAAACCTAACTGACACTTTGTCCACTACGATTATTTTTTCTTTCACTCTAATTTTTCCTTTTCAGGACTGCAGCCTGAGAATGATTCGCGGGGTTCGAGCCACTTTTCGCATGCGAATTACGAGCGCTATTCACAGAAACACTGTTTAACACTATATGCTAGCATTTACAAGAAAAAAAAATTCTTTTTTGCTAAATACATCCAGTTTTAACATATGGCTGTGAATCCTGGACAATCGGTAGGCGGGTCAAACAAGTTCTGGAGGCCTCGGAGATGTGGTTTTACAGAAGAATGCTTAGAATACCTTGGACAGCCAAAAAGAGCTACCAAGAGGTTTTGAAAGAGGCGGGAGCCCGAAGACAACTTATCACAGGCATCAGAAGGAGACAGTCATCATTTTTTGGCCATGTTATGAGAAGAGGGAAAATAAAACATGTTGTGACCACTGGAAAGATATATGGAAGGAGAGATAGAGGAAGACAACGAGAGAAGATGCTTGACAGTCTTGTTGCATGGCATGGATGTGTGTCGGCACACGAACTAGTACATACTGCAGGAGTTCGCAGATTATGGAGAGGCATGATCGCCCACGCCAGTCGGCAAGGCACCTGATGATGATGATAACGATGATGCCAGCATTTGGTTTAAAGCAACACCGTCTCTAATAAATAGAGAAGGTCGTAGTTTAAAGTAAGGCGCAGTTCAATACAGCTGAATGAATGAATGAATGCATTGACGAAACTACACTCAGGACTTTCCCACACGTGATCCGTTTCCTTCATCAGTAGCCAACGAAGAGTTGTCATGCTAATAGTACGTGTTGAAAACTGATTAAGCCCGGCTCGGTAGCTTAGTTGGTTAAACCTGACTGCGCGGCTACCAGGTCACGAACTACCTGTGGTCCGGTTTCACGCCTGGGGGTTGGCAGAAAAGCCACTTTCTCCCAAATTTACGGTATCTGTTATGGAATTAAGGCCGAAGGGTTGCGATATCCATACTGCCGAGCCAAAGGGTTAACTCTTGGTTTCTGGATATTTAAAAAAACCCCACCTGACTAACGTCCACATATGATTACCACCCTTGAATGTCTTGCAGAACATCTACTCACCACCATGTTAGATAAGTCTTTCAATGTACGCATTCTCTGTGCATTTGATTCCAGAGACCCTTCGCCCTTTAGGCATTATCATAAAGCAGCTAACCGCCCAGAGCAGAGGAAGCAGTTAATCTGCAGCATGTTCGTTTCCCTTTACACCTGAATATACTGAAAAGAAAGTCCACGATATGCTCCGGATCTGAGTCTGGGTCCACTATGGGTGGATTAATATTGCAACTCATAAGAGCGACTGGCCGAACCGTTAAGAATGCTGGGTTTTCATGAGGGAGACCCAGGTTCAAATTCTCGGTAAAGTAGTCGATTTTATTTTCTGCCAGTCCGTGGCGACAAAACAAACTAGGTGGTCACACATTCCTCAAGAAACCCCCCCCCCCCCCCCCCCCCCCCCCCCCCCCCGCAATCCTACCACCTTCTTTTTTTCTCATAGCCTCTTCTACACAGTGGATTTTTGTCGTGGTATGGGACGTCGTAGGTCGATCCAGCCTAAAATGGGTACCAGGATGGGCTGTCCTGGGAAAGTAAAGACAGCTGGCGTAATGCTGACCACATTACCCACCGAGTGCTGATGGTCTGTAAAAATATGGGACGCTCTGCCCATATGCCCGATGCGCCGAAAGGCGTGAAAAGGGAACTTTACTTTTTTTTTTACTTTACTTCTACACAGAGTAGAGTGGCAAATACGGGCAGATTGGGGTGGGGGGGGGGGGGGGGGGGGGGGGGGGGTGGGGTGTTTGCAACTAAAAAAAAATGCACTCATTTATTGAAGGTAATGGGGGATATGGGGGGGGGGGCACATAAATAATAACAAAAAATATTACTCATATCGAAATTGGTCATAATTGGCACACACTCTCTGTCAAGTAAAAATGATCAAATTAGTCAGATTAATTCAATAAGCGAGTAGTTTATGTGCCGCTTGTGTCAACTTGTTGCAGCATGTTTCCCTTCCATGCGCTCCAAGGACAGACATACAGCAGCAGATAATCTAATTTTGGAACAAACATACAGAGGAGAACAATCTAATTTTGACATGTAACCAGGTTAGGTGGACAGTTAATAATTCTGTGGGTGTTGCTTGCAAGATCTTTGTTGTGTCTCTTGGACAAACATTCACATATTCAGTCGCGTTGCCTATTTCAGCACCACATTATCGGCCACCAGGTAGCTTATTAGCTGGCCGGTAGACCACTTCGTCGCCAGTAGGGACAACGTTTGTGTCTGTCTCCTTTGATCGTATCAACACTACAACAGTTTT